TCGGACATTGGGTTTTTGATCAAACTGCATAAGTCCGTCCCACAGATCGTTGTTCCAATCAGACACTGGCTGCAGGGTGGGGCCATGCCCCGCAAGGTTCTTCTTCATGCATAAATTAACATGATGCTTCAATTTATCAAATGGGAACATCCTTGCCAGATTTTATTAATACTTCTATAAAGTTTCTTAATGCAAGTATCGTACATATTTCCCACTTCTCATTCATACCAAAGTTTCTCACATAAAATAAGCTTTCATTCAAGCTCAAATATCGGGTAGTTTGCATACACATTAATAATCTTATCTACTAAAAGGGGTTATAAAACATTAGTTAAACTTGCACCGATTACAGGAAACATGTCAAGCATATATAAGACATAAAACATATTATTTGTGAATATAGTTGCCCTTTTATACTTTTAAATGATTGTCTTTTGAATTGTCTGTGTAAGTTCTATGTTCCTTTGTCTGTGACAGGAGAAATGCGCGTTTTTTTGGAATGTAGAGAAAGGGGGAGGACAGAGAAAGTCCTGAGGTCAATGGAGGTTGCAAAAAGTCATGCGGTGTAGACCTGCTATTCTTCTCGCTCGGACATGGAGCTATTAATCTGTCTCTTTCTGGCTGGAACATTTCCAGATACCAGGTTCTTTGTTCTGTTGGTTATTAGATAGTTTATTTATGCTGAAGCCAGTCACGAGACAACACTGAAGTTCTGTTGCTTAAATTAGTCCAGATGCAGGGGTTAGTTATTGCTGTCTCAGTGCTTGCAGACCCAGGTGGTGGTTTTGTGAATCACACTCTTCCTGTGTTTCTTGCAAAGATAAGCCGAGCGGGACAGGAACTATTTGAGACAATTGGCGCCTGAGCTGACCACGGTTCAGTTTTACGACTCGCACTTGAGAGGTTGAGAGGAGACTCCTTAGCTTCTGCTTAAGGAATGTTCTGTTCTTTCTGTTCTGGATTCTACTAATAATAATGCAATAAATCTTAAAATGCACACTTTTGAAAATAGACTCTTAAGACTCTTATTGCTCAGTGTTTGCAGTAAAATAGTTTTTTGTGGAACAAAAAGGGAGGATAAAATGATTTTGGTTAATATTTTGTCAGTACAGCTTGCGTTGAAGCCAGCACTGTGCTTTAATGGTGTGCTGATGCAGTAAATGATGTTTAAAGCTGATCTTCACGTTTGTCCTCCAGGAGCTGCTAGAGATGAAGCAGAGGTTGTCATCAGAACTCCTGCAGCATCTGAAGAAGAAGGCCGTCAGTATCCTGACGTACTATCAGCCGGAGTGCGGTGAACTGATCGCCGCTGCTGAATGATGAATGATAGTTATTTTCTGGGAACCAAATAAAAAGCGTGTATCTTTCTTTACTGCGCGCCTCTGATCTGCGCGCGCTTCTCCAGTCCTCCACAGAAAGGCGCGTAATTCAAAAATTAACGGTCGTTTGGTTTTACTGACTAACATTCGTTTATTGCTCTCTTTATTGAGTAATTACTTATTATTAATACATATCCGAGAGTAAATATTGTGATTTCGGATAGATTTGACTCGTCTAATTGAAGAGAACATGATGTTAACCAGAAGTGTTTGTTTCCTGACTAAAGGAGAAGCAAGTCCTCATTCAGTGGTAAGACATTAATCTAATGTTATTCTAGTTAAAGTCAAATAATTGTGTTGAAATCATTGTTATTTGGTGCTTAAGAAGCGTAAAATCTGGGTTATTATGGTAAGTTACAGTGATAAAAGTTAGGAAATCTGACATTTGAGAGCAAATGAAGTGTCTCATTGCTGTTGCTTGTCTGTGGTTAATCTGAGCATTTGTGTTCTAGACAGCAGCACAGTTTATTGAATCTGAATGTAGTGTTACTGTTTACATGACCGCTAAATAAAGTGATGGCTTGATGTGCGCGTTTATACCACAAGCTTCAAACCTGGATTGATTTCTTACATGCCCACACTGCAGCAATATAGAGAGTTCCCCGCTGTTTACCCATAATAACCATTCTCCTACACTGTTTCTTTATTTGTTTTGAGCAGCAGAATTAATATTTATCCATTTCTGCTCATAATTTGGCGACAGTGAGCAAATAAACCGCTGTGCCGTGCTGCTATATTGTCTCGCAGTAAAAACGCCCAAAACCAGTGTTTGTGGATGAATCTGAAACAAGGACTGCTGGTTGTTGTTCTGCTCCGCTTCACAGACACTTAGTGAAAAGAGAGTTTTATAATGACAGGACACTCATTTATAAACATTCAACAGGAAGAACAGCTCGTTCCGCGCGTTATACGTCATTACGCTCTTACTACGTCATCGCGCACTCGCAGTCCTTTCAGTTTCGGTTTTCAATCCGATCCAGTGTTTACATGCACTCGCGATCGTATTAGAAAATCTCATTCGGATCGATTAACTTGTTTACATGAAGGTTTTTCAGTCCGATTGAGCCGTCAGTCCGATTACTAACGGGTTATTTGGTAGCATGTAAACGTGTTTGAGTGAACGCCACCGTCGTTCTGCTGTTTCTCCGACTCTCAGGATCCGTTCAGCTGAATGATTAGTTTGTCATTTCCACCCAGAGTAAGTGTTGGAGATCTCACTCTTCTGTCTGTTCAGCTGCATCATGGAAGACACACGAACGCCCCGAGATCAAGAGCTTTCTCCAGGATGCAGGTACTTTGAAAACACACTATATTAAATAACTACTCATATGAAAGATGGCCTTCCGCCAACTTTTTTATTTTTGACAAGTTAAAAATTATATTTTTATTTAAAACAATAAGACCATAGAGCCTCCTTATTAAGTGATTTTTTTAAAGGTCCTTTATTAAAATTAATGTCATCATTAAATCTGTTGAGCAGAAGAGATCAGAGCCAGAGCTGTGTGTCATATTTATATTGTGTTTTTGTTTTATATTAGGTATTCATGTTATTATGGTATTCATATTAGTTATTATGGCAGACAGTCTATGAAAGAACTTTAGTTTATGGTTTCTGTATCAACATAGTAAAAATGAAAAGATCACAATTTTAAAGGGGTCATATGATGCTGCTAAAAATAACATTATTTTGTGTATTTGGTGTAATGAAATGTGTTTATGTGGTTTAAAGTAAAAAAAAACAAAACATTATTTTCCACATACTGTACATTATTGTTTCTCCTCTATGCCCCGCCTTTTTGAAACGCGTCGATTTTTACAAAAATACCTCAAGCGTGTGACAGAAATGTTACGCCCCTCGCCATACTGTTGATGCCGTGTCCCGGCCGGAGCGACGAAACAAAAAACATGAAAACCCGTTACAAACTAGGCATTTGTTGCATCCAGTGGGGACATAATTACTGAT